CAAAAATTGACCGGTTGGTGTCTTAATTCACCAAATGCTTTACATATTCATTTTTTCTCCTCTTGTATACAGGGTTGTTCACCACATACGACACGGAGTATTGTAGCTAAACGAATAGATTTTTACAAATTGTAAGGTGTTTTGGGTTCGTTGAAGGACTATTAGAGCTACAATTTAAAAATATTTTACATGATACAGAGTTCCCAAATAAATAAAAAATATCAAAGATGTATTTTTTTAAATGGAACACCCTGTATATTATTACATTTTTAGTTTCTATGATTAAAATAAAGGTAAATTTGATTAAGGTTTATTACCCTTAAACCTTACCGTTTTTTAAATATTTTCAATTTTGTGAAATTGCGGTAAAAATTTTAAGGCTTCATTTCTCCAAGGGTATCAAAGTTTTTAATACTAGATATTTACTGAAGTTTAATTATTGATCAGTTATTGTGTTGCAATAATAAAAATAATACTACCTCATACAGAGTGTCTAAAAATTTATTTTAAATAATTTCCAGCTTTAAATGGCAGTAACTTGTTTAATTTAAATAGAACACCCTGTATGTTTTAGGAGAATCAGATGCACAATTTAATTGTTCATCAAATTGTGTTATACCGTTTTTTCCTATCCCTTCAAGTTTTCGTAGAAAATGCATTTTCTTATAATTTAGGCCTCATTTATCAAAATACCCATGGACCATTGACATTTTAGATTGTTTTTAAAGCAACAAATGTACAGGTGCTAAAAACGATAATATACCAGTATTGGTATACAAAAATAAAACTATTTATATCTTTATAAAAGAGAAACATTAATTAAATATACCGCCATTATTTCCGCCAAAATATTAATTAATTACATATTTAATTGTATTAGTTAATAAATTATTCTAAATAAATGTGGATTTGGAATCAGAAATCAATATAATAATAAGTTATGAAAATGAACGTCTCTGTTGTTATAAATAAGCATCCGTCAAAAAATGAAATAACATTTTTAAGGTGTTACTTTTTACCAGGCTGTCTAATGCACATACAAAATTAAGGTTTTTAGTATTTGGAGCAATTATTATTAATCAACGCAAACAGTCAATTAATGTAGTTGAATACTGGAATCATATTATTTTGTTCTCTTTTACAAATATTTAAACATTTTTTTATTTTTTAATAACATAAACGAACTATATCGACAATATTAGTATCTGTACCATTTAAAAATTTGTTACATGTATAAAAATAATCAAAAATGTCAATATTCCATGGGTATATTAATGATTTTTGAGGTCTAAATTATAAGAAAATGCGTTTTCTACGAAAACCTGAAGACATAGGTAAAATATGATACAATATAATTTGATAGACAATTAAATTGTGCATCTGATTCTTGTAAAATATACAGGGTGTTCCATTTAAATTAAACAAGTTATTGCCGTTTATAGCTAATTATTATTTAAAGTAAAATTTTAGACACTCTGTATAAGGTAGTATAATTTTTATTAATAAAACACAAAATTTAGTAAATAGACAATATCACTACAATATTTGGTTTTAAAAACTTAAATACGACTGGAGAAATAAAGCATTAAAATTATTATTGTATTTTGACAAAAACCTAAATATTTCAAAGGGTAAGATTAAAATTCGGTAAACCTTAATCAAATTTACCTTTATTTTAATCGTAGAAACTAAAAATGTAATAATATACAGGTGTTCCATTTAAAAAATACAACTTTGATATTTTTTATTTATTTGGGCTACTCTGTATCTTGTAAAAGTATTTTTAAATTGTAGCTCTAATAGTCCTTCAATGAACCCAAAACGTACAATTTGCAAAATCTAAGAGTTTAGCTTACAATACTCCGCGTCGTATGTGGTGAACAACCCTGTATAAATCATTTACCCAACATTTTCTTCGTTTCATAAGTAGTTATTTTAACATTATATCCTCAACAACATCAAAATAGTGGCGTCCGTTTTGACAAACTCGACACACAGAACACCATGAACGCGCATCTAATGTAACCACTAAAATAAAATAGTCGTGCGACTAAATTTCGTCAGAGCACGCACGTATAAAAATCGCACGGGCTCGCGTCCAATGTAACCGCGGGCTAATACAAAATTACGCTCTACAAAAAAGGTCTCTTTGGTTTTTAGCCGACCATACCAATAGGTATGGTATAGTAAACGCCACGAATGTTTGGGAGTGATTTATCGGTCGCTACCATGTGAACTAATCTGTTCAAGGTCACATGAAACTTAATTCCAGTGCCGTGGTGTTTCAAGTCATTATAATAATCAATATATAATCTGTTGTAATTTGTTGTTTTAACTGTCGAAGTCTTGTCAAAACATATATTTGGTTATAAATATAAAATGGAATGCCCCATTGGTCGCACTGCAAGCACACCAATGGACTGACGCACAAAAACGAATCAATCAAAGAAACGCGATATAGTATCGTCTTTGTGAATCACGCTAACATTTTAGAATAAGTAGGAGGAGCGCAGGCAGATGATTAGACCGGGCCTTTAAAAACCTACGTCTGCGGTAAAAACGTACGTTTTTAATGTAAAAATGATAGCGCGCGTGTCGATTCTAACTTCATCAAGCGATGAATCACTCCCAAACATTCGTGGCGTTTACTATAGGCTATTAAGATCGGCAAAAAAAAAGTTTTTTTAATTTCACTCAAAATGAGTTATTTGGGTCATAAATGACCTAAATCAGGGTTGGCATGATTTAAATCATGATTTAAATCGTGATTTAAATCAAGTGATTTTTTTAATTTTAATCATGTGATTTAAATCAAAAAATTAATTTTATTGAAACTTTATAATAAATCAAAAAATAACTGTAAAAGTTATAAAAATTTATCCTAGAGAACTATCAAAAATATTTCTATAACAGATAATAAATCGAAAAATAATTGTAAATTTTATAAAACTATATAAAAATATCTATTCATCAATTTAAATGTTAAACCGATTTTTGAAGTAATTTCGTGTGAATCCATAAGACCGCTAAAAGCAGGAATTTATTTTAAAATTTATTTATAAGTGACAAAAATTCGCTTTTCGAATACATATCATTCGTCGACTAGTGCAGAACTAGGTTCTTCTGATATAGAGACTATATCTTCGTTCCCGAAAATCTATAATCGTTGTCAGAAAATATGTTGTTTTTTTTTTTGAAACGTTGGTAGGTATCCAAATTCTTACAGACATTTTGATTTGCAGTAAGTACTTTACACTTTGACATTAGATAATACTATTTTCATTCTCGACTTAAGACTATTTCCGAACAATAATGTAGTGTTTCATTAAGAGTAGAAACTATACTTTTTTTGACGATGCTGTACATTTGAAGGACCATCGTAAAGCTATACCATCGTAAGCTTTTCCGACGTTACAAGGAGGCACAAAAAGTACATTTTTACTCCGAATAAAACATTATTTTTTTAAAACATTACAAATAATTTTTTAATCAATTTCAAACGTTGCAAATAATACAAATAGTAATCGAGAAACGATTTGTACACTCTTTGAATTTGACACCTAATATCAGTTTAATAATATATTTTTGTACTTTGGTGCTTAGGCGTAACAGTACTTTACTTTTATGCCTATAGTCGTTAAAATGACAAAAATTAATACTTTTGAGACGTTTGAAAAAAAAAAAAAAAAAAAAAATACTTTTGATTTGAAGCGAGCGACTTTTTTGCGGAATATATTGGTGACCGATGTGGAAAAATGACACGCCCCGTAGAATTGTTAATGTTATCGGTATCACTCAGAGTTATTAAGATTTAGCCATTTAGGATAGGACTTTAATTGGAAATAAGTCCTAGTCATTTAGAAATCCGATTTAAATATTGTTTTGAATTAAAATCAAAAAAATCCGATTTAAATAAAAAAAATCTGATTTTTTATTTTTTAAAAATCATGATTTTTCCAACCCTGACCTAAATACAAAATATTTTCATGGTGTCTGTCTGTCTGTCAACAGGTAATCCGATTTTTTGGCACAAAAATACTGTGGCACCCGATAATCTGGCCATTAGTTTTTGGTGGGGGTGGGGTGTTGGTAAGGGGGTATGGGTGGGGGTTAAAAATTTTAAAAAATCGTAACTCCAAAATTACAGTATCTAGCGAACCACGGTTTTCAATTTAAGATTACGAATAATATTTGCAACAAAATTTGTAATAACATCAAAATCAAAGTCGCAGTTTTTGAGATAAAAAAAATTGGAAAAATTCCTTTACTTTGAAACTAAAAGAACTGCCTACCAACTTTTGATTAACATAATTTAGTATGGGCGGCTATGCGTACCTCCCGGCGCCAATTTTTTTCCATAAAAACATACCTTTAAAATTTATTCGCGGTCAAAATTATGTACTAAGCATTCGTAAATATTATTTACGAATACTGAAAGGGCAACGAAACCATAACCTTAAATTATAGTTTTCATCAATTTTATTGATCATAGATGGCGCAATATTAGTTTTCCATATTAAAGTTGGTAAAGAAATATTGTTTTATTGAAAAACGTACGGCTCCAGATCGTTTTTTAGTCAAAATCAAAAGGTGCAATTAGAATTTGCAGTGAATGATAGAAAAATTTGATTATAAACTATGTGCATAACTTTGACCGCGAATAACTTTTAAAAGAATGTTTTTATGGAAAAACAAAGAGACCTTTTTTGTAGAGTGTAACATGTTTTGTGAAACGCCCTGTATATTACACTACCCTAGATTAAATGTACAAGACACATATGTAATAAGCTAGGTTCATAGACAAGAATAAAATTCTTCATTCAAGTGACATTTTCAACAAGTTTTCACTAATATATGAACTACGTAAATAAAAGACGATTTTATTTTGCGATATTCGTTTTCGCATTTCTCAATTCGCTGCTATATGAATCAACCTTTAGGTTTTTTTACAAGTGAAAACACTTTTGATAGTTTTAATTGAAATAAATGTTTATTTTCAGATCTGGAGAAACCGAAGATACATTCATTGCTGATTTGGTGGTGGGTCTCTCCACTGGCCAAATCAAGACTGGAGCCCCATGCAGGTCAGAACGTTTGGCCAAATACAACCAAATTTTGCGCATTGAAGAAGAATTAGGAGCCGGAGCCAAATACGCCGGAAAGTCGTTCAGAAAACCCCAGTAAATAACCCAAGAGAGTAAAACTTTATTGTAGTCTTTTTAAAGTGTCTAATCAGTTGTGCGATGGATTACTGTTAAAGTACTGCCACATTTTCCAAGATATGTGTATTTATTTCCAGATAAAACCCGTAAAATTAAGCACAACTTTATTTCTAAGACTTTAAAAGTTGATATTTTTATTTAATTATTTTCTTTATTCAGTTCAGTTTTTTAAAGTAATATAAGATATTAATGCATTTTATGTATAATGTTAAAAGACAAAATACTTTCAAAATTAAAGATATATTTAAAATTTAAACAAAATGTTGGCTGTATTTAGAGATAGTCTTATGCATTCCCCTGGGAATATAATAAGTTCTATTGTTATGCAATGTTACCGTACTTTTTTGGAATGAGATGTATTTATTCAATTTATTTAAGTAACAAAGTGTATTGTCAAATAAATTCATTGTTTTATTTAATAACAGAAATCTACCTGCTTAAGGATACATGTCACTATATTTGATACCAATTAAACTTTTAGTTACGCAATCGAGGGCGCAATTTTTAAATTCATTATTAATGATAAAAATAAAGATTAACTAGAATTTAAATTTCCCGCTGGAGATTCAGGTGGTAGCTCTGCTGTAAAAAATGTCAAGTTATCACATTTATTTATTTATTACCTGACATTGTCAATAATAGGTCTGTTCACTAAAAAAAATTTGCACTAAAAGCGGTAAAAAATTAATGTTTTAGTATTATAATACCAAAAAAAATAACTGTTTTTTCAAAAAAAAACTCCTTTGACAAAAGAGACTCTTGAAGTTATGCGCTCCGTTCAAATTAATAAAGCGCTCTCATTGGCCTGACGTCACATGCCTGCCTCACGCTGCTCCACTTGCGACGGCAAGACCGTGATACCGTGATTCAGTTTGATTGTGACACTCGCTATACAAGGTATTGAAGTACAGTCGACATTTACAGCAGTTACATTATTATTTTTGTTCTGAATACCGTAAAAGAAGTTGTTTTTGTTGCTAAATATGGGGAAGGGTTTCTAGAAAGGAGATTCACATAATTTACCGCAAGTAGATGTAAATATGGTATTTGACTTTCTCGCGATGAATACTGATTAAAACCAAGTTGAATCCAGTGGTGTTAAAGCCTTTTTACAATATGCTAATAACAATAACGAAATAGGGAAAAAATACTTAGCACAAATAAATCTGCAAATGTTAGCAAGAGGTGTTGAAAAAGGAATATTTTGCGTAGCACACCCCAATTTTGAAACTACAAAGGAAATTACTGTTATCAACGTTAAATATGATGAGGATTTTACAAAAGGTCTTATTGATTCTGCCATACACTTTTGGAAAACCAACATTTTTAAATTACTGTATACAGTTTTTACTGAATAAACATTTAAGATCTTAATAAAAATATCGTTTAGGAAACCATTGTTTTATTTAGAAACAGACATAGTATAATAAGGGTATATCTTAATGTACTATTGTATTATAATGGGTTTTTGTAAGTTTATTATGGCACAGAAAATACTAACTGTGTTATCTAGTTTTTGAACCATTGCTGAAGAAATAGTAGAGTGGGGTCCTAACATTTTAAAATGTCGCAAGCGATTTATTATACGTTCAATATGTATTCGCACACTTGCAATTCGTTTTGTAAGCAGAACGTCATCCTTGGTCAATTTTACATTACTTACAAACTTGGAGGTCTGATCAATGTACATTTTTTTTCCTTAGGGATGTTTCAATTTGTTTAAAACCTCGGTCTGCCATAATAACGCAATTTTCTGGAAGAACTTTTAAATATCCACAATCTTTAAAAATTGCAACATCGCTTGCGCGTCCTCCATACCCACAAGATATAAAGTTTATGAAACCATCAGGAGGGGGGTACATGATATCAAATACTTTATAGTGTTACACTTTTTATACTCGGACCAAGTCAGCGCCTGTTAAACAGGGTCGCTAGGTTTTTGAATTTCAATTTCCAAGTAGTCGATGATACTTTATGTAGTAAAGTACATTGGAAAAAGACATTCGAAATTGAGTGGGAAGATTTGAATATATAAGGAAAACTTAAACAATTAGTTTTAAAAGTAAAATTTGATATAAAAATTGCCGACTCTGAACTGTCTAGAACTTAGAGAGGTAAAAAGTAAAGCGCGTGTTGAAAAGAAGAGTAAAAAGCGACATCTTGGAACTGAATTGAATTAAAAAGTGTGATTAAGTGTTAAAACTGTACCTAGTAGATTCTTTGTTTGCGTAAAATACAAACCTGTCTGAACAGAGGGTATATAATTTTACAATAAGGACTTTCCATCGACTAATAATAATTAAAGGGTCGTTTATGACTAAGCGTAAAACAGAATCGGTTCAAATAATTCTGAATACAGTGGCGTAACTTGTAGTACAGATAAAACTTGACTACAACTATGTAACTAATCTAATTAAATCTAGACAGGGATACAAGAAAACGGCGCAACCGATCCGTCTGTTATGTCTCTGGTAAAGCGCTACGCGCGATTAGCGAGCATGTGACGTCACACCCACGGTAGCTCTCCTGGCAGCGTTTTCCCGCCTCGACGAAAGGATTTAAATTGAATTGCCTCTAATCGGTGTTGTCATATTGTAAAGAACTTATCCTTTTTAAACAGTATCCGACTTATAATTTAGTAGTATAAGGACTATTTAATACATCTCTGGAATATTAAAACCTACTTTATTAAACTGTAGTATTAATATCTCAATATATGTGTATAACAAGAAAAAAAATATTGATAATATTAAAGACGTGACAACACAGGCTGGATGAGGAAGGCTCGGTCGACTGTACCCAGAAGTAAACATGTGTACAAAAAATATTGTCTGTCCGCGTTGAGATGTAAATAGTGTAGTCTATATTTTATTTTAAGTCTATGTATAAAACATATTTCTATAACGGGTATAACAGATAATAAATCGAAAAATAATTGCAAATGTTATAAAACTATAGAAACATATCTATTTGTCAATTTAATTCTTTGACCGATTTTTGAAGTAATTTCGTGTGAATCCATTAGACCGCTAAACACAGGGATTTATTTTAAAATTTATGTATAAGCGACAAAAATTCGCTGTTCGAATACATATCATTCGCATATTCGCAAAGTCTAGTGCAGAACTAGGTTCTTCTAATATAGAGACTATATCTTCATTCCCGAGAATCTATAATCGTTGTCAGAAAATATGTTGTTTTATATATTTTTTGAAACGGTTGTATGTTTACAAATTCCTACCGACATTTTGATCTGCAGTAAGTACTTTACACTTTGACATTAGATTTATAATACATACTAATTTCTTCTCTACTTAAGAATATTCCGGAACAATAGTATATTGTTTTATTAGGAGTAAAAATTACACTTTTTTGACGATATTATGCTGTACCTTTCAGGCACAAAAAATACATTTTTACTCGGAATAGAACATACTCTTTTTTATAAACATTACAAATAATTTTTTAATCAATTTCAAACATTACAAATAATATAAACAGTAATCGAGCAACAGTTTGTACACTCGTTGAGTTTTACACTCAATATCAATTTAATAATATATTTTTGTACTTTTATGCCTAGGCGTTAAAATGACAAAAATTAATACTTTTCAGACGTTTGAAAAAAAATCCTTTTCATCTGAAGCGAACGACTTTTTTTGCGGAATATATTGGTTAGGTTACGACCGATGTGGAAAAATCACAACGCCCCATAGAATTGTTAATGTTATCGGTATCGGAGTTTAGATTTACTGTGAATTAGCCATTTACGATAGGACTTTAATTGGAAATAAGTCGTAGTCATTTGTAAATCCGATTTAAATATTGTTTTGAATTAAAATCAAAAAAATCTGATTTAAATAAAAAAAATCTGATTTTTTTGATTTTTTTATAAAAATCATGATTTTTTCCAACCCTGGATGAACTCGCGTTGCAATGATAGTATTTAAAATTTATTACTCTTAAATATTGGCTAAAATGTTTGGTAATAAAATAGTTTACTTCTTTAGTTGTACCATATGATCGAAAAAAACGGCGTCTCAGATGGCTGGGGAATGACAATCGATAAAAATTCAATTTAGGTCAAGCACTAGATTATATTACTTGGTCCGTATTCTTTATTTTTTAATTGTGCTTACTACTTTACGTGCTTGGTCTTAAAAAGGTTGTAATTTATTTTTATGTCGAGTAAAAAATGATTTTGAAATGGCGCAGTTTAAAATGCGAACTCGAACAGAATTACAATTTCTACTGGTAAGAGCAAAGCAAGAGCAGTGTAAAACTGCGTTCGATTTGCGTCGCACTGACCCGGTGCGGATTGTTTTTTCGTTCGGCTGCATCAGAGCAGCTTCGTAAACTAGCACTTAGTGCAATAATTTTGGAACCGTCATACATGGTCGGTTCTGTCCAGTTCGCTCCAGCACTGTGCAAGTGCAACTCTTTGAGCAGTTGCTCGCCCTGAGAGCATTCGAATAGAACCGGTGCAGCCCAGTCGAAAATCGTTCGCCGACCCACCGCACAACGCTTCGCATTGATGATCAATTGCATAGCGTAGCGTAGACCGGAGAGGACCTCGAAGCGTTTAAATGCATTGAAGTAAATGAGAACAAATGAATTGGCGCGTATTTTTCAATTATCCGCTCCGCTCTACGCGTGCAGCTATGTTGTGCCACGGCCTAAGGGGCTTGAAGGATAAAGATAGTGATTTTTTTTATATATACCTAATATATATTGTGACAAAAATACTATCGATGACGTCACATTTCTTTAAATAATTCAAAAAGTGAATAAATACAAAAAAATATATACCTCAACAAGATTTTTTTCAATCCCAAAGCAAATCAAAACCAATTTCAATTTTTATTTACTTGTATATTAAACTACTACATCAAACACGTAGAATATAGAATATTCATGATGCCATGTAATTTTATTAGTTGTAATTTTTCAAACGTCTTCACGGTTATTTTTGCATTTCGACGGACCAAAAAATTATTTATTTTTGCACTACATTATTATTAGAACTTCACGTAGGTAAGTACATATTTTTTAAAATTATTATTTTACGGATTAGATACGTAAATAAGTTATATTTTTAACCACATGTTAAAAAACTTGTTATAATTATCTAAAAATATATCTTTGCACAGGTCTATTAAATTATTCTTAATATAAATCATATTGTTACAGATTTCGTGGATATATACAGGGTGTTTCAAAACACATGTGCCATCTCTCGTGGGGAGATTCCTCACGTAAAAATAAGATTTACTTTTCATTTCAACATATGTCCGATTCTGCTTTGTTTCGTAGCTACAGGGTGTTAAAGTCTTAATAATCTTTCGATTTATTATAATTTTCTTTCAAGTGCTTTTAGTGAATCGAATGAAATTGTGAGGGTA